TCCACTTGCCATCTCCCCACTCTCCCCTCCCCATTTTGGCTCTTTTACTCTGAGCATGGTGTTTTTAACTCTTGAGCTATGCTACTTGGACAAAGAAATACTGACCCTGCAGAACAGATGGTGTGGTCACTGGTGGGCTCAGTTTACAGTGGTTCTAGTCCATTTCCCTTCCTGATCCTACCTGGCTCTGCAGCGTCAACCTTGCTCTCTCTTTCACTGTCTCCCTCATTCAAGGTCACAGATTTTTATTTTATTTTAAAAATTCCCTGACTTACCTACTCTCGAGTTCTGGTGTGATTACCTACCTAGTTGCATAAGCTCGAGTGAATTACTCAAACTTTCTGTGCTTCAATTTCCTCATCTCTAAAATGGGATAATAATAGTATGTACCCCCGTTATTCATAGAAAGCATACATGAATCATACATGGGAAACACTTAGAACAGTGGCAGGAACATAGTAAATACTCAAATATGGTAATGAACATTGGTATTTTTATTTGTGAATATTATTTTGTAACCTGCTTTTAAAAAATATGCTGTGAATATTTTCTCATGCTATTCATGACCAATACATGACTTTATTGCCATCCTCTGACTATATCATAATTTATTTAATCAATGTTCTATTTTCAGACATTTATTATTTTCAATATTTTGTGTAATAATTAGTAACTCTGTAGCAAACATTCTTGTGCATAAATTTCTGGGCACATCTCTGATTATTTCCTAAGGCAAATTACTAAAAGTAGAATGATGAATCAACGAGTATCAGCCCTTTTTTAGGCTTTTGCCTAAATGCCTTGCAGATATGTCATGTGAATTTGTGCTCCCAAAGCATTAGACGGCTCATTTCCCCACAGCCTTTCCAGCACCAGACATTATGGTTTCAAAACTTTCTTGCCAGCCGAAACCGGTTTGGCTCAGTGGATAGAGCGTCGGCCTGCGGACTGAAAGGTCCCAGGTTCGATTCCGGTCAAGGGCATGTACCTGGGTTGCGGGCACTTCCCCAGTCTGTAGTTTCATAGTCAGATGGTGTGCACTGTAGTTTCCAAAGCTCTCCTCTTCTGAGACTTTCATTTTTAAAAAATCTCAAGCCCCTTTTGAGTTACTTCTGTAATTTTAATCTATGAAGTCTCTATCAGAAACTCCTGCCCTGTTACTATTCCTAACCTTTCCTTTCTGATTTCTTCACACCATTTCTCTTCTACCCGCTGTGAGTTAGACTATAGCGTTCTGTTTGGGTCAGGTATGTGTTACAAATCTAGTAGATAAATACTATAGGAAGACAGGAACTTGCTTTTTTTCACTGAGCCCACTCTAACCAAAAATGAAGCAGTTCCCGAAAAGACTCATCTCCTTGATAGTAATAAGATACTTGTTGCCCCAAATATTTAAGCCACGTAGACAAGCGTCTGCAAGTTGTGGGAGGGATTCTTCTCTGGCAGTAAGTTGACCTCCATATTAGTGTCCAACTAGGAAAACAGAAACCCTCCAAATCTTCAAACATAGAAGAAATGTAATTCTGGGAATTGGTTACCCAGGTGGTTCAAAGCCAAAACGATGATGAGGTAACACTGAGATTCGTAACATTGGGAAGCCAGCACCTTAAACTGAGGACAGAGGGAGAGTAGGTGGGATCACCTGGAGGAACCTGGAGCCACAGTGGGCCTATCTGTTGGGAGCTGGACAACAGAGGTGGTGCAGGTGCCTCTCATCACCACAGGTAGAACGGGAGGGGAGAAATACCCTGGCTTTTCTCTTCTCCTTCTCCGATCTCCTTCCAATGTATTCCATTGGCAAATTCAGTGAAAAGCCAGTGGACCCAGCTGTCTGTAGAATTATATATAGTCATGGTCAACCGGACTGTGCTAAGAGCAGAGTACTGGGAGCCTGAAGAGTGGGTGTGAGCGCAGAGGCCGAGGTCTGCCACGGCGATTGCTGGAGGCCCTTCCAAGGCCAAAGGTAATAGGGCCAAGTGCAAAGCATGCTTGCCCTGGAGAGGTAGGCAGTCCTGAGTTTGAATAGAGGCTTTGTCATTTACTAGCTCTGAAACCTTGGCCAACTTATTTAAGTTGGAGTTAAGTTAAGGGGGGTCTGAGAGCCTCATTTACAAATGCTCTCCTTCTGTCCCCAGTCTGATAAGGCGTTTGTAAAGATTAAATAAAATAATTGCTAAAAAATAATAGTCAGCATTCAACAACAATGAACTTCCTGTCATTCAAGAATTTATGATTGTAGTAACTATACATGGTGTGAGATGGGTACTATTGGGGTGATCACTTCGGAAGGTATGTAAATGCCTGAAACTAATATAATTAATATTGTACATCAACTGCATTTAAAAATAAAAAAGATATTTTTAGAAAAGAAAAAAATAAGAATTTTAAGACAAAGGACCATTGGGCATTTGGTCAAGGTCATTAAGGTTCTCTAGATATTGAAAGAAGGAAAAGGGGCAGAGGACGCTTTCCTTCCGGAAGTTCTGCCGAGGGTCAGGTAGGTGATAAATTGCCCAATAGTGACACTGAGAGATGATCTAAGACCATTGAAAGTATCACCCATGATCAATTCCTTCATTCCACAAACACTTCTGGGTCCTCACTATTTTCTGGAAGTGACTTAGACATGGTCCTCACATTGAAGGAGATGGCAGCAGATGGGTGAAGAGTTAAATCGAGGTGCATGACGGATGCGTACTGAGGAGGGAGCACTGGGATAGCTTTGCCTGAGGCAGTGGGAGACGGCTTCAGCAAGGAGCTGACCTTCGAGTGGTTTTGAAGGATGAGCAGTTGTCCAGCTATAAAAGCAAGGTCAGAGGGGAAAGTCACGGAAGAGTGTGACTTGTTTGGGGAATGGTGAGCGAGTCCCATGGGTGGAGCCTTGAGGGGTCCATAGACGAGGTGGAGGTAAAAACAAGTGACTAAAACGGAGGAAAAAGTCAGTATGTGAAGGGCCTGGTGTAAGAAGCTAATTAATGACTTAATTCTGTGGGGAACAAGAAACTGCAGAGGAACGCATCATCTGTAACTTAGAATTTCTTAGTGTGACACATGTTCCCAGCCTCTCTCAGGCATGCAGCTACATAGAGCTGGGGCCATGTGTCCATCTCGTAAGACATGAGAAAGTATGAATCAGAAAAATGAGCACAGGGGCTTTTCTTCACTATTAAATCCAGAGTGGAAAAAAGTCCTTAACTTATCCTGCAGACGCTGAAGGGCTCAGGGTGAAATATTCCAAATGTGCTCTCTCCCATGTCTACACAGCCGAGCACATCGGAGGGGCGCTGCTGCTGCTTGTGGTTCCGAGGCAGGATCTCAAGGCTCTGGGGGGAGCGTTGGCTGGCCTGGACCTGCCTGAACGCTGAAAAGGAGTTGCGTTACTCTAACGGAAAGGAAAACACAAAAGGATGAAAATATAATCCTTTATGCTTTTCAGAGCCCTCTCACTTACATCACCTCATTCAGGCCTCGTGACAGTTGTGTGTGGCAGAGAGTGCCGAGATACCGTCCGGTTTAGAGGTGAAGAAATGGAGGCTGAGGGTTGCCTGCCCTCCCTGGGATCTGAGAAGGACTTAGACCTAAAGGTACAGATGGATTTCTAGTCACGCAGGCCCAGTGCCTTCCCCGACCCCTGACAGTGCTCTGCCTACCTGTCTCCTTTCGTGAGCCAGGATGGCTTCTCCGAGGCCCCGCAGCGTGAGCAGCTTCGGACCCGGCCGTTTCCGGTGGCCTGTGGGGCGCCAGGGGCCTTTTCTCCTCTCTCCGGGCGTCCATGCTGATAGGGCTAAACCTTCTGAGTAGAGGATCAGGACTCCCTTTCTGGTGCTGAAAGTTTTAGGGAGTGAGAGGCTCCATGTGTGCTGGGTGGGGTCGCCCTTATGCTGCGGTTTGCAGACCAGGACATAATCTTCTGGAGACTTCCAGTTCAAGTAATCCTGCAACGGAAAGCAACCACCTTGATCGATTCACTGTGGACAGCACATTAAAAAATTTCCTTTTAAATTATATTTTTACTAGAGGCCTGGTGCACAAAATTTGTACATGGGTGAAGTGGGGTGTCCCTCAGCCTGGCCTACACCCTCTCCAATCCCTGTGGGATCGGGCCTAAACTGAC